GACTAACATTTCTGAGACAAAGCTAAGCAAGAAAGAAAAAAAAAAACCAAAAAACAACAAAAAAACATGACAGAAAACCAAAATAACAAGAGGGCCATGATGGCCCTGAAGTCGCTCACCTGTATATAGCCCCCCCCCCCCCCCCGGGCCAATTTTTACCCAAGGGCTTTTATTTGAACAGACTTGGTAGACACCCATAAGAAGATGTTTCATGCTAAACATCTAAGTTCTAGCTCATTGGGTTTTTTAAAAGAAGATTTTTAAGTTTTTACTATACACATATAGTTAAAAACAATGACACCCCAGGGGCAGGGCCAGTTTTGACCCCCGGGCTTTTATTTGAACAAACTTTGTAGATATTTACTTAAAGATGTTTCATGTATAATATCTAAACTCAAGCTATTTGGGTTTTTTCAAAGAAGATTTTTTAAGTTTTTGCTATACACATATAAGGAAAATCAATGACCCCCGGGGCAGGGCCAGTTTTGACCCCAGGGCTTTTATTTGAACATAATTGGTAGACACCCATTAGAACATGTTTCATGCTAAATATCTTAGCTCTAGCTATTTGAGTTCTTTAAAAGAAGATTTTTTAAGTTTTTACTATATGCATATAGGGAAAATCAATGACCCCCTGGGGCAGGGCCAATTTTGACCCCAGGGCTTTTATTTGAACAAACTTGGTAGACACTCATTAGAAGATGTTTCATGCTAAATATCTTAGCTCTAGCTCTTTGGGTTCTTTAAAAGAAGATTTTTTAAGTTTTTACTATATGCATATAGGGAAAATCAATGACCCCCTGGGGCGGGGGCCAATTTTGACCCAAGGGCTTTTATTTGAACAAACTTGGTAGACATTCACTAGAAGATGTTTCATGCCAAATATCTAAGCTCTAGCTCTTACGGTTCTTTAAAAGAAGATTTTTTAAATTTTTACTATATGCATATAGGGAAAATCAATGACCCCCCGGGGCGGGGCCAATTTTGACCCCAGGGCTTTTATTTGAACAAACTTGGTAGACACTCACTAGAAGATATTTCATGTCAAATATCTTAGCTCTAGCTCTTTGGGTTCTTTAAAAGAAGATTTTTTAAGTTTTTACTATATGCATATAGGGAAAATCTATGACCCCCTGGGGCAGGGCCAATTTTGACCTCAGGGCTTTTATTTGAACAAACTTGGTAGACATTCATTAGAAGGTGTTTCATGCTAAATATCTTAGCTCTAGCTATTTGGGTTCTTTAAAAGAAGATTTTTTAAGTTTTTACTATATGCATATAGGGAAAATCAATGACCCCCTGGGGCGGGACCAATTTTGACCCCAGGGCTTATATTTGAACAAACTTGGTAGACATTCACTAGAAGATGTTTCATGCCAAATATCTAAGCTCTAGCTTTTACAGTTCTTTAAAAGAAGATTTTTTAAATTTTTACTATATGCATATAGGGAAAATCAATGACCCCCTGGGGCGGGGCCAATTTTGACCCCAGGGCTTTTATTTGAACAAACTTGGTAGACACTCACTAGAAGATGTTTCATGCCAAATATCTTAGCTCTAGCTCTTTGGGTTCTTTAAAAGAAGATTTTTTAAGTTTTTACTATATGCATATAGGGAAAATCAATGACCCACTGGGGCGGGCCAATTTTGACCCTAGGGCTTTTTTTTTGAACAAACTTGGTAGACACTCATTAGAAGATGTTTCATGCCAAATATCTAAGCTCTAGCTCTTACGGTTCTTTAAAAGAAGATATTTAAAGATTTTTCTTTCGGTTGCCATGGCAACCAGAGTTCTGCATGAAATGGAATTCTTTGAACAATCTTGATAGAGCTTCATACAAAGAGTATTCCTGCCAAGTTTCATTAACATTGGCCTTGCGGTATCATAGAAGATGTCCTTAGAATATTTAAAATGTGGACGGACGACGGACGCCATTTGGTTGGCCATCCTAAAAGCTTACCTGCACTTGTGCAAGGTGAGCTAAAGATATATCATTCTATCAGAGATGTGACAGTAGCTGATATATGACAATACTTCCTATTTCATCTCTGGTAAATATACTTAAGGAAATTTAAAACACATCAACAGATTAGGCATATTGTTTTGGTACATAATACTCAGAAAAAGAAAGTATATGCACACTTATCATATTTTATTTTATCATTGTAAAACATTTCATCCAAAGAAAAACTCCAGTTTAACAACTTAACAACAGAAAACAACAAAATAACATTACAGGTTTCACACCAAAAAACACAATTCGGAAGTCATTCCATGTAAACCATTGTGACATTTATCAGCCCATGGATGGTTCATGCTCATATATATAATTTAACATGGTTTTATTTCCGTCAATTGCATAGAGCGGTTTTTGACAATAGGCCAGATTTATCTATGTCCAATAAATAAAATGAAAATAGAAAATTAAATACTTTCGCAAAACTGTGTTTTTAATTGCCTTAAGTATAATAACAACAAATGGCATCTAATTTTAGTGTTATTTTTTTTTTTGAAGAACTAAAAAATATTTTAGTTAAAGGAACTTTTGATATCACATCATAGATGATATCTTACACAGGAAGATTGGTTGTTTAAAGTGAATATACGTTATATATCTCACTGAAAGGAGATATCAAAATCATTATCACAAGCATGTAGGACAAATGAGATATAATCCTATATCTCACACATAAAACCAACCATTTTATGATTAGCATAAAATCAAAAGATATTGGAAAGAACTTGGAAGTTTTGAAAGAATTATAAAATGCAAATGAAAACAAATAATAATCATATGTCAAAAAATTTGAACACAAAAAGAGAATAACATTGCATTTTGAGTGCTTTAAAGATATTTTATGTACATGATATAATCTGTTCCATTCACACTCCTCTTTGTTTAACATGTGCTCCGTAATTATTGAGATATATAATTTCAAAATGATTTGAGCCGCGTCATGACAAAACCAACACAATGCGTTTGCGACCAGCATGGATCAAGACCAGCCTGCGCATCCGCAGTCAGATCAGGATCCATGCTGCTCGCTTACCAACTCTATTACAAGTACAGAAACTGAACAGCATGGATCCTGATCAGACTGAGCGGATGCAATCCGCACAGGCTGGTCTGGATCCAACACTGGTCACAAACCCATCATGTTGGTTTTGTCGTGACGCGGCTCATTTGTAAATGGTTCGATGTAACATTGTGTTATTTTCGATCAATGTACCTGTAGGTAAATCAACTTTTTTTTTATCATAGCTTGATCCACTTCAAGATATGAAATCCCTGTATCTTACTTCAATTGTGGAAATTAACCAGTTCCTAAGTATAAAATCAATAACTGATATATAAACAATTAATTACAAATAAGTTCAATAAAGAAGGTAATAATTATTAATGAATTATCATCCATGTAAAAGAATTATGTACTGAAAAAAAGTAAAATGAATTACTTAGTTGTGAATGTAAACTTACTCAAAACAACATGTTTGTTCACAGCTGCAAAAGTGAGCATTCAAGTAATTGCTTGTCGAGGGTCATAATAAAAACAAGAGGGTCATGATGGCCCTGAGGTCGCTCACCTGTATCAAGGCCCCCGGAGCGGGGCCAGTTTAAACCCCAGGGCTTTTATTTGAACAAACTTGAAAGACACTCGTTAGAAGATGTTTCACGATGTTAAGTTTGTTAAATTTTTACTACACACATATAATGAAAAACAATGATCTCCCCCATCCCCCTCCAGCAGGGCCAATTTTCACCCGAGGGCTTATATTTGAACAAACTTGGTAGACACCCATAAGAAGATGTTTCATGCTTAATATCTAAACTCTAGCTATTTGGGTTTTTTCAAAGAAGATTTTTTAATTTTTTGCTATACACATATAAGGAAAATCAATGACCCCTGGGGCAGGGCCAATTTTGACCCAAGGGCTTTTATTTGAACAAACTTAGTAGACACCCATTAGAACATGTTTCATGCTAAATATCTTAGCTCTAGCTCTTTGAGTTCTTTAAAAGAAGATTTTTTAAGTTTTTACTATATGCATATAGGGAAAATCAATGACCCCCTTGGGAGGGGCCAATTTTGACCCCAGGGCTTATATTTGAACAAACTTGGTAGACACTCATTAGAAGATGTTTCATGCTGAATATCTTAGCTCTAGCTCTTTGGGTTCTTTAAAAGAAGATTTTTTAAGTTTTTACTATATGCATATAGGGAAAATCAATGACCCTCTGGGGCAAGGCCAATTTTGACCCCAGGGATTTTATTTGAACAAACTTGGTAGATACTCACTAGAAGATGTTTCATGCCAAATATCTAAGCTCTAGCTCTTGGGGTTTTTTAAAAGAAGATATTTAAAGTTTTTTCTTTCGGTTGCCATGGCAACCAGAGTTCTGCATGGAATTAAATTCTTTGAACAATTTTTAAAGGTGACCACCAAAGGAACATTCCTGTGAAGTTTGGATGAAATTGGCCCAGTGGTTTATGAGATGTCATTTAAAGTAAAAGTTTACGGATGGAAGCCGGACGAAAAGCGATCACAAAAGCTCACCCTGTCACTTTGTGACACTGGTGAGCTAACAAAAAAGGTATGTTTGCAAAACACGAATGGCTTTATAAATAAATTTTTGGTAATCATGAAATTTTTACCTTTAAGTAGGCTTCAAGATCATATTTCAGTAAGTCGAAATGATGTTGTTACTCTTGAGTACATTGTGCTAAAGTATGTAGCATCTAGCTTTTAAGAGGAAGCTGTTTTGGCCAAAGTTTGAACTTTTCCAGAGAAACTGGCTAAAAAGACATGACAAAACACGAGAGCACCACGCCTACCTCCAGTTCTGATGATTAATACAAGGGCATAAGGGTTGTGAGGGTAAAGTGCTAAATGTGTCTGCCTCTAAAGCCATGGATCATGGGTTCATCTGTTCCAGTGAGACTGGTGTTAAAACCCTGTTTTCTCATATAACACCTGTATTATTTTTTTTTGAAAGATGTTCAAAACTTTCTTCATAATCCAACTTACATATAATGTTTAAACTGATGCAAAGGCATAAAAATTATTAATTGTATAGGGGTAAACTAAGCTAGTTGTAAATGGCAGAAAAGTCAAGCATCATAAATACTGTACACAATTGTTACAATAATATAAATGCACCTTTCTGTTTAAAACATACTTATTTTACATATCACATTTATAAAATTGTCGGTAATTCAAAGTGTAATTTACAAAAAGAACCAGTGTTGTCTTGTATTGCATACAATATTTAGAAAATGTGAGTATAATCTGGAAGATAATGTAATGGGAAAAGTAGATAAATGGTCTTATGTCGGCACACAATTGACAGCCGTACATTTAAATTTAACACCTATTAAAAATATGAAATGAGTTTGAATTGTTGTTTTTTTTATGACAAGATTTACATTATGAACAGGTTATTTATAACATCGACTCAATTTTTTGCAAGTAAAAATAATGTTTGTTTTTTTTCCTTTTTTCGTCATAATTATGCATGTACTGTATGTAGGTATCTAGTACTTTAAGTACCTGATCTACTATGTTAATCAAACATAATGCTCTTACCAAAGTCTAACATTAACTAAATACATGACTTTCTAAAACTTTAGAGTATAACATAATATTGATATAAATCAATGAGGGAGAACAAAAAACTGCATCATTTTGTTCATTAAAGTATTGGCTGAATCAAGCAAATCAATGTTACCAATAAAGCAACATAATTTATAACAAAACAAAAGTGTCTTAAGAACAAAAATATTGGTAAGCAAACAAATGGACGCAATGATCATTAGGTTACAAATGTTTGTTTTTTTGGCTATTGGATGAACACAGACACCATTTTATGTACAATGTAACTATATTGTGTACTAACTATCTCTTTCAGGATGATAGCGCGCAGATTTTCTCTTATCATACGTCACAGTCTCTGAGCTCTGCACTTTTTCTATACTATCATTCTTTTTCGGTGTCCCATCATGCTCTGTTATTTTCCCATGAGTCTCAAACAACTTCCCATGATGCACTGGTGAGCAGGGCATGCTGGGAGTCAATGTAGGCAAGGTGATATCTAAATGAAGTTGCTCCGATTCGGGCACTAATTGTTTTAATTTACTAACTGCATTAAGTAATGCTGACCTCTCCAATTCTAACGTGCGTATATGAGATTTTAACTTGGCCTCCTGCATTTGAAAGTTATGAATCATAATCTCTAAACTTCTCTCATGACTGTGTGAATGCTGAAGTTTCTCAATTAACTCCATGTTTTGTTGTTTAAGGCTCTGATTGGCCTGTTCTAGTTTATCAAGAAGATCAGAATCTCCCCGCTGAGGAGAGTACATCATTTCCTCTTTAAGGACGTGATATTCCACCTCGTATGACTGTAACTGTTTAGATATATTCATGTCGAACACCTGTAATACAAGTACACACTGATTAATGCCCAGTTTCAAGGTAATTATACACTATGTCAAACTATAAAAGTAACAAAATCTCCTCAAGCAATTAATTTTACAATGTATACCCTTTAATGTCAAAAACAAAAAAGTACAAAATATACATACTTCAACACATTCTTCTTATGAAAACAAGTATCAAATAATGGATTAAAGTATATCAGGGTTGAAGTATATCAGTTGGTAAATCACTATAGCAACCATATTGATCTTAGAATGAACATAATAACAAACAAGACAAAATATGTCTGACATCCAAAACCACACTTAAAGCATTGCTCTATTACAAAACACATCAGGCCTAATTTTTTTCTCCAATGTTAATTATGATGTGAAAGGAACTGGAGTAAAATTTTTGAAAAGTTTCTTGTGCCATTTATTTCAATAGAAAGAGCATCAGAATTGCAATCCAAGCATTGCCGGTTTAGTCCTCGGGCATGGCAAAAATTTGTGGAGAAATTGAAAATGACAACTTAGTTATACAGGTAAGCTGCTGGTTAGGTAGACTAGATATGTAGATAAGACCAAAAATGTGTAATAAATGTTGTAAAAGCAACTTCAGTCACAACATGACATAAATATACGGCACAGAATAATTTACTTCCCCGAGATATCTGATTCTTAACATATAGTCAGTGGCCTTAAATCTAGGTCAAGGTCACCATTGCTTAACCTTCACCCTGCTGTTACTAAAAGAGATAAATCTTTGCCACCAGTATAGTGAAAGACCAGCCTGCACGTAGTCATCCACGTAGTCCAACCAGACTCTATACTATTGCCTGATCAACTTCAAATTCTTAATATCCCCAAAATTGATATGGAATTCACAAAATTAAAACTAGACAAGTCCATTTAAACAAATGCATCACTTTAAAGATTAAATTGTATCATAGTTTGGGGACTTTTCTATTGAAAATGTGTTAAGAGTTAAATCGTATACATATACATGCACAGTGCGTTAACTGGAGTGCAGGTATTAGTTACTCAAGAGCATGCCCATTGATTGGCTTATTTTTCTGGGGTTTACTTATTGTGACAACAGACAAAGGGAAAGCAATAGAAATATTTGTATTCAGATGCTTGTTCATTGGTTACGCCCCCTCGTACAAATAAGATAGCCTCGTGTTTCGATGCTCTTTCTACTTATCATAGAAAACAAATTTTTGTTCACCTGATTAATGACTCTCTCCATCTGTATCATACCCATCTCTGGTAGTGTTGTCTTAATAAACTCTACTACCGTCTCAAATGAACTGCACTGAATTATCAATTCTTTATGGTTGCCTAGCAACACCAAGGCAACCTTAAATACCACCTCTGGTCCTTGGATAAGTATTAGATCTGTAGAAACAATAAAACATTTTGCACTTTTGAGTGCCTTTATTTTCATAAAAACTGTCAAGACTTAAGTAATCATTCTTTGTCATTTAATAAAAATAGAAATTTACTGTTTCAACAAGTGTACATAATAAAATAAACATTTGTTGTTTTTCTTTCACCTCAAATTTTCTTAAAAAATCTTATGCCAACTTAGCCATATTCACAATATTTTCGTTGGACTTGTCTCAAATATAAACAAATCATAAACACGAAATAATGTAATAAATTATGTTTATGTTCCTAAAAATGTTCTATATCAACTTATAATACCATGGGTGAAAGTTGAAAATTTTAAAAATCCTGAAAATTTTAATGGGGGCAACGGAAATCTCAACGGATTTACGCGATTCACAAAAATGATCCTGGAGACTGGCTAAAATCCGGAACTTCCGGACTATTCCAGAAAACTTTCACCCATGTAATACTTATTCAGCAGTATTTAAAACTGAAAATTACAATGTATCTTATAATTACCAAATACTCTGGCAACAAATCCTAGAGGAAACTGTGAAGCAAACAGTGTGAGGAACCAGGGGGCAGCATACAGGGTCGGGGCTATCTCATGCATCTCAAAATGGTCGTACAGATCCTTGTAGTTGTCATGCAGAAGTCTTGTCAACTGGTACAGCTGAATCTGTAATAAATAAACAGATCTGTGAAAACCACACCCACATAAAAACATCAAAACCACACTCATATAACCATCCAAACCATGCCCATGTTAACATCCAAATCACACCAATATAACCATTAAAAACACACCCACATAAACATCAAAACCACAACCATATAACCTTTAAAATGACATCCATATAACCATCAAAACCACATCCATATAAAACATCAAAACCATGCCCCATATATCCATCAAAACAACACCCATAAAAACATCAAAACCACACCCATAAAAAACATCAAAACCATGCCCCATATAAATATCAAAATCACAAACCGATATAAACATCAAAACCACACACCCATATAAACATATAACATTGAAATCTGAAACTGTCTTTTAGGCAAGTAAAACAAACTGGCTTGACACCAATCTTTATTCTGAATACAAGAAAGCAAATCATATTAATGTTGTTAAGTCACATCTGTATTTTCTGTGCCATTTTATCATGATAGAAATAACAATCTAACATTTTGTTCAGACACAAGAACAATCTTTGGAACAACACACATATTGTCTAACAGACATGGGTAATGGATGTGTATTATACCAGTGTTAAAATTGGACAGCCAGTCAGTCAATTAGCATAAAACTGTAAACACTGGAAAGGTCCATTGTCAGCTGTGTTGTGTACTAATATATCTTGTCCATGCTATAAAACTATAATGTATAGGATATACAACACCATACCTGTAATGCTATCATATTAGGTCTGTATTGTTTGCGTAAACCAAGGTTAAACATCACATGCTTCCATGTCTCAAATGCAACCGTTTCCTCCATCTGTAAATATATAAAGGCATAATTTGTCTCAGAAATGATTAAAAAAGATTCCTTCTTCAGATAGGGCAAACATGAGTTTTATAATGTTTAGATAATGGTTTTGGAGCACCTTAAATGCTTACCACCTGAAGATAATAGTAGTGCTGAAAGTGAAATTATTAGTCTTAAAAGTAGCAAAATGTAAACAAAGTAGTATTTTGAATTTTATACAAATACTTAACCACTATAATTGTAATAATTACCAAAAAGTAAAAAAGATGTAAGAGTAGTTTAGGGCAGCAAACCAAATGCCCCACTGAATTGATCTTTTGAAAGATAACAAAAAGTCTCTTGACGAAAACTGTGACATGAACTCTATTAGTGGACAAATACCCTTCAATCAAAATAGCAACCTAACCAAAAGCCCCTCCATAGGTTGACAAAAACCCCTTGACTAAAAATAGCAAAATGATCAAAATCCCCCTTATCAGGTGGACAGAAGTCTGTCAATTGAAAAAGTTGATGGTATTAAAATGGTGGGGTTACTATTCATAATTCTGTAAATGCTTGAAAAATATTGGACTCTCTGACATAAAAAATTGGTGGTTCACTAAGTGTCAAGCATTCATAACAATAAAACTAACACAAATATGTTTAAATTTAACAAACATGGAAACCCCTTAACAATAACATCTAAAACAAGTGTCTGTCTGAACATGTGAAAACACAGGTATACATACATGCATGAGAAGAATTCCTGCCACAAAGCTGAGACCCTGACAATAACCAACATCTGAATCCATCAAACTGTATGCCTTCAATAGGTTAAACAGAGCTAACTGACCACTGCCCAGTTGCATAGAAAAATAAGGATGTCCAGGAAATGTTCTTCCTGAAAAAAAAAATGTCCCATGTAAATTATCAAAAATAATACTCTTTACTAATTTTTAACTTTCTCTTATGATCATAACAACTACTTTATGTCATAAAGAAGTCATGTTATGCAAAAGCACATAACAGCATAGTATTCACATAATTCAGCATCTAGGCCTATAAATTATTTCCAATTTACGGGCAATTTATAGCAATGATATTATCAGGGAAATATCAACATCCATTTAATAAAAATGTCATGATTTTTTTGTTATTTTGCAACATTATCAAATGTCAATAACGCTCATAAAATATTAATCATTTCCTGGTGTCAACTGCCAGTATTCAAATACAGACTCTGCAACATAAATTCCTACCTAAATCTATGAGTATAGCATGCTGGTGATTTGTTAGTTGTTTTAGAAGTTCATTGTAGTCAACTTGTGGTGTGTTCTCCTCTATGCTCGGGTACCGGAGACGATGCTGCTCCATAAGAAACTCCCATACTTCACCTCGTTTTGCTTGAGGTACTCCTGATAATATAGAATAATATATAATCAAAAACACAAGTTTTATATGCTTTTATATAATTACATCAATGAACAATCTTAATAAAATAAAACTAGAAATGTGTCCATAGGACACGGGTGCCCCCACCACGTCACTGTTCTGTCAATCTTATGACTCTAGGTCAAATATTTTTTGAAAACTAAAAATCTTTTTACTAAGTAAAGGGCAAGAACTTTACAAATACTGAATAAATCCCCAAGCAAACCCCAAAGTGAAAACTGCAAATTTATACTACTGTAAGTCAAGGGCAATAACTCTAACAAAACTGAAAAAATCCACATGCAAAGTCCCAGGTTCATAGCTTCACAGTGATGTGAATCATTATTCCTGTAATTTAGTGATGTTGATCATTATTCCTGTAAAATTGGTCAATTCTAACTCAAGCACTCAAGGAACAAATAACAACATAATGAAACAGTTTTTACTAAATCAAGGGAAATAACTCTACAAATACTGGATAAATCCACAAGCGAAACCCCAGGAGCAAAACTAAATATGCTGAGCAGCCTTTCCATAAGGTTTAATGACTCTATGTCAAATCGTTTTTGAGTAACATGCGACACAAGTTGAAAATTGCAAACATTTTCTAAGTCAAGGGCAATAACTCTAAAAATACTAAATAAATCCAGACGAAAATACCCAGGTGCACAACTACAGATGCTGATCAAATATTCCTGTAAAGTTTCATGACTCTATGTCAAATCTTTTTGAGTAACATGTGACACAAGTTGAAAATTGCAAAATTTTACTAAGTCAAGGGCGACAACTCTAAAAATACTAAATAAATCCAGACGAAAATACCCAGGTGCACAACTACACATGCTGATCAACATTCCTGTAAAGTTTCATGACTCTAGGTCAAATACTTTTTGAGTTACATGCAATACAAAGTTGAAAATTGCAAAATTTTACTAAGTCAAGGGCAATTACTCTAAAAATACTAAAAATATCGAGACGAAAATACCCAGGTGCACAACGACACATACTGATCAACATTCCTGTAAAGTTTCATGACTCTAGGTCAAATACTTTTTTGAGTTACATGCGACACAAGTTGAAAATTGCAAAATTTTACTAAGTCAAGGGCAATTACTCTAAAAATACTAAAAATATCCAGACGAAAATACCCAGGTGCACAACTACACATGCTGATCAACATTCCTGTAAAGTTTCATGACTCTAGGTCAAATACTTTTTGAGTTACATGCGACACAAGTTGAAAATTGCAAAATTTTACTTAGTCAAGGGCAATAACTCTAAAAATACTAAAAATATCCAGACGAAAATACCCAGGTGCACAACTACACATGCTGATCAACATTCCTGTAAAGTTTCATGACTCCAAGTCAATACTTTTTGAGTTACGTGCGACATAAAAACGAGAACGGACAGACGGACGGACGGAAGGACAGACGGACGGACGAGGGTAAATCTAAATGCCCGCCACTAATGTGGGGGCACAAAAATTCTTTTAGCAATAAATCAAGGTTAAAAATAAATATTTTGTTTTGCGCTTAATTGAGCTTAATTCTCTAATTTAAACCGTTTTTATTTATATCTACAAGCTGTATTAAATGAATCAAGAATTAGTTCAACATTTATTCAAACATGATTTTTTATAACAAAAAACTTTTGCCAAAGTAAACAATGTTGACTTCTACTTAAGGTTTTGGTAAGAATTTACAATATTAAAATTTTGAGAGCATAATAAACATTATTATAACTCAGTCTATGCGAAAGTCAATTTTTTTTTCAGGCCACAAGGACCGAGACCCTTAGGCTTATTTCCGGCCCGGATGATATTTTTCCGGCCCAGACATTTCAAGCATAAGTAAAAGTAAAAATGATTGTCTTTCTTTAAATTAGTGAGACCATCAATATAGAAACATAAGAAGATGCTGACCAATTGAAATAACTTAAGCAGGGTTCTCACTAGGATTTTCAAAGTAGGAGTCCTTGGACTCCCAAGCACAGAAAAGTAGGAGCACAGAGCACATTGAATAATTATGTTAAGCCATCTTTGCTGCACTTATGCAGTTGACAAATATGATGTATATTAGCAGAGTAAGCTAGGGATTGGAGAGTCGGAGTTTGAACAGAGAAAAAGCTTATTCAGGAAAATGGTAGTAAACTATATATATGTCCCAAATGGAAGACACTGTACTATAAAAGTGATTGAAAAGATTTGAAATATAGTTTCAAAAACCCTACATCATCAGACCATTATGCTGTTTCCTTCCAGATTCACTCCACACACCCCCCTCCCATAAGAAAATATTTATTGTATGTGACAAACACATACTTATAAATACCTCCATCTCAACTAATGTGAACAATATCTTTAGTAATTTTAATTCTTAAATTACATTTAAGTGTTATTACACACATTTTAACAAAACAAAGTTTCCTTTTGGTTACGATTTTTTTAATTATAAAAAGCGGCATCGCGAAAATATGTGACAATTGAAAATTTGTCTGTTTCCTGCAAAAACATTCACAATTCTACTTGTTGTTGATTTTGATTATATTAGATTAAATATTTTTTGATTATTATAAGATTGTTACTCATTGGCTATTTCAACAGGCATGATAAAACAAAATTTTCAAATCTGTAATTTACTGTACAGCAAAATTTACCGTTGTTGATGAAACTTTTTGAAGACAGAGTTGACTGGTTTTTATTTGACATGTACAAAAAAGATCTAAGGTTGGTCAATATCTTCTTTAAGAAATTCTTTGCATCACTGGGAATTTGTTATCAATCAGGTCATTGATATTTTTCACTTTTTGAAATTTTATTCGGACATGAGGACTGACGGAAAGAATTTTTTCTCGGACCGCACGAGTTTTATTCAGTCAGGTCCGAGGACCGACGGACTTTCGCACAGACTGATAACTACTTACTAACTGACTGGTTTATACAGAATTTATTTTAGTTTTGTGTAAAGCAGCTACAAGCTTATAGACACACTTCAATCTGTTCCTGGAACCAACCAGTACTGAGCAATGAGTGTAAAGTTTCTTGCTCAAGGAAACAACAATTTACCCCTGATGGGGTTTTGAACCCATGTGGCTAGCAATCATAAGATTACTAGTCTGACATGTTAACCACTCAGCAATGCCATCACTTTGATAATAACTAATGATTAAGACATAGTATTGAGTATGAATGTATTAAATTTACCTTGCTTAACACAGCTGAGAAGTTTTTCATACTCGACTTTGATCGTTGTTCTTCCAGGTCTATTCAACATCTCATCCCACAACCTCGTTACCTCCTTCAGGCACGGAGTTATCTCCACGTAATCCAGCTTCTGACGTTTTAAATCTGCCTCATCTTGACGTGCTGAAACATCAAAACACCACGCCATGACAAAACCAACATAATGCGTTTGCGACCAGCATGGATCCAGACCAGCCTGCGCAGGCTGGTCTGAATACATGCTGGTCGCAAACCCACTATGTTGGTTTGTCATGGCGCGGCTCAATTACAATCTTTAAGTTGTAAGAAAGTTTCTTTTGTTTAATTTCAACATCAAGGTCATCGGTTTATTATTTCAAAATATCTGAGACCAGATTCAGAAACTGTAATATAAATCATTGTCAGTAATCACAATAAAACTTTGAAGACAAACATATTCCAAGATTCTAAGCTTCTAATGGAAAATTGTAAAAGCCCTAATTTGACAAGTTTGTAAGAAATAATCTATATGGTCACCACTAAGAGAATAGCCTTTATAATCCGCTGGTGACATTATAAAAATAATATATTGTCTATATGTTATTTAAGCTATTAACTTTAGTCTGAAAATGGAGCAAAAACATCAACTCTGACATTATGATAAATATGTAAAGCATACAGTAAAGTAAGCAATTATCCAGGAATGCTATATATGTTATTAACTACACATGGGGTTTGACAAAAAGTTCAAGGTCGTTTGTGCTTTAACAGAATTCAAGCATATATAAATTTGTTAAACTAAATAAACATGAAATAATATACAATAAGATATTTTTATATGACACAAAAAATTGACAATATGACTATAAATGTGTCCATAGAACACTTATGCCCCCACTTCATTTGCTTTCACATTGGCATAATTACAAGCCTTGCGTTTTCCATAAAGGTCAAGTTATAAACATGTATATATAGAAACAGTTCCAAAAACCAATGAACTTCACAAACCTTCAAAAACTGGGGAAACTCCATGCTTTTATATGACAAGGATTTCACATCAATTGTCAAAGTGACCTTGACCGTATGACCTCAAGATAAATATAGGATATATTGGGCGTCTGCAATATCCCTACAAGTTTTACAGGCTTATGCTTCTTCCTTCTCAAGTTACTAACTGGACAAGGATTTTACATAATGTCACTGTGACCTTTGATCTTATGACTTTATTATCACTTAGGGGTCATCTATTGGCCATGATCAATTTCCCAACATAGTTTTAATTAAATTAGTTATTGATCAGACAAGCATTTTATATGAAGTGTCACTGTGACCTTGAATAAATAATGGTCATCTACTGGCCATGGGCAATGTCAATACCAAGTTTCAGTTACTTATTGGGCAAAAATTTTACATTAAGTATCACTGTGACCTTGACTTGTGACCTTATGACCTCATTACTTTAAAGGGTCAAATACTGACAGTGAAAAATGTCTCTACCAAAATATACACATACTCTCAAGTTCTGGATCAGAAGAGAACAAACAATAAATTACATTAAATGCTACAGTGGCCTTGACCTTTGACAATACTCTCCAATCATTTTAGGACAACAGGAAGTAAGTATAAACAGACCACCCCATCACAGTTGTGGTCACTCTTTAAGTGGGGGCATAAAAATGGGTGTGACTAAACCTAGGCTTGTTCTAAGCTAACAAATGGCATTCATATGGTACACACACACAACATTCGTGTGGGTTACCTTTAAACACAACTACTGATCTTGATCCAAACATCACAAAATATCCTACAATTATATGTATAGTATATATATTATAAAGCTAACTATAACCACATATGCCGCGTCACGACAAAACCAACATAGTGAGTTTGCGACCAGCATGGATCCAGACCAGCCTGCGCATCCGCTCAGTCTGATCAGGATCCATGCTGTCCGCTATCAGTTTCTCTACTTGTAAAATAGTTGGTAAGCGAACAGCATGGATCCTGATCAGACTGCGAGGATGAGCAGGCTGGTCTGGATCCATGCTGGTTGCAAACGCACTATGTTGATTTTGTCATGATGCGGCTCATTTAAGTAATGTAAATGTTATTACACAGATAAAATTTGATATACATAAATTTATTACAAACATATATAACATATAGAGAACACAAATAAACATAGAGAACACAAATAAACAAAGTATTCAATATTTGTAATTTTAAGCTGCCTGAAGATATACATTTTACTAAACAAGGGTGCCATAGTCACAAAATACGCCCGTATACGAAAGCTTTAGATGGAGATGGGGGCATTATGGATAAGTGTTATCTAGCAAGCAAGTTTTTATTCTTGGCACTGTGTTGTTAAATGAACCTTAAAACAAATCAGTAGGGAAGATATGCACAGGATGTGTGACCTTGACCTTGGTCGCAGGGACCTGAATTTTATGCACGGCACTCAGCCTCACAATGATGAACATTTGTGCCAAATCATATTGAAATCCCTCTATGCATGTAGAAGTTTTGCTCCAGACAAGCGTTTTTCTATGAGCTCTAACTGTGACCTTCACCTTTGACCTAGAGACTTGGTTCATGTGCAGGGCACTACGTCTCATGGTGGTGAACAATTCTATAAAGTAACATTAAAATTCCTCCATGCATGTAGAAAATATGCTCCGGACAACATCTGGATATTTAATCATCTCCATTGACCTTGACCTTGCAAATATTAACCTAAATTAAATGTGTCACACCTGTAGTCATGATAGTTACTATTTGTGCTACAATCCATCAATAAATGATGACTAAATGGTCCCTATACACATCTTCAAATTTTTATCTGAACTTTGACCTCTATGTGTAACATTGACTTTGGTCGCAGGGATCTGAATTTTGCGTGCGACACTCAGCCTCACAATGATGAACATTTGTGCCAAGTTATATTGAAATCTCCCTATAAATGTAGAAGTTTTGCTCCGGACAAGCGTTTTTCAATGAGCTCTAAGTGTGACCTTGACCTTTGACCTGGAAACCTTGATCATGCATGGAGCAATACATATCATGGTGGTGAACATTTCCATAAAGTATTATAAAAATTCTTCCATACATGTAGGAGATATGCTCCAGACAAAATCTGGATATTTCACCATCTTTAGTGACCTTGACCTTGTATATTGACCTTAATTATATGTATCACAGCCATAGTCTTGATAATGACCATTTGTGTTACAATCCCTCAATAAATGATGACTAAATGGTCCATATACACATCTTCATATTTTTATCTAAACTTTGACCTCTATGTGTGACCTTGACCTTGGCCGCAAGGACCTGAATCTTGCACGCGACACTCCGCCTCACAATGGTGAACATTTGTGCCAAGTAATATTGAAATCCCTCTATACATGTGGAAGTTTTGCTCCGGACAAGCATTTTTCAATGAGCTCCAAGTGTGACCTTGACCTTTGACCTAGAGACCTGGTTCATGTGCGCGACACTGCTCCTCATAGTGGTGAACATTTCTATGAAGTTTCATTAAAATCCCCCCATACATGTAGAAGATATGCTCCGGACAAAATTGGACGCCGCCCGCCCGCCAGGGGCGTTCCTACAATACGTCCCGTTTTTCAAACGGGCGTATAAAAAGACATGATATCAGGATGGTACATAATAGTAACTGTCCACATCTTAATTTAATACATATATAACTAAATATCTTTGGTGATCCAAAAACCTGCGTAACATACAAATATTCTTTATTTTCATAAAATAAATCAGTCTGCTCAAATCTGCTGGCAGATAACAAACAAATGCTCAGAATATACAATGTCATGATATTAAATCATCAGAAAATATTGTTATATTAACTTAGCAATTATCAAAACTTTGTATATTAAATTCACAGACCAGGCACCTAATGCCAGCATGTTGCAGTATATCCCTTGCACTCTCATCTACATAATACTTTAATTCCAGTTTTTGAAATATTACTACACAACATCAAACGTTTCTACCTCAGATATAGATATCATAAAATGTACATACAAGGTAACATATTGATGCCTCAAGTCTGTATAAACCATTGCCTTAATTGATTGAAACATTCACATTTGCCTCTGTAAGTTATATATACAAATAGCCCAACTAAATTTCTGTCTCATTATGTATTTATATACAATTATCCCAATTCAGGGAATACTCACACTTTGCTATAATCCTCCCATATAGAAGTTCATTTTATACCAAGTAAAACAACTAATGAAATGTTACATGGTCTACTGAATATAAAATCCCCCCCCCCCCCAACTTCTTATGTTCACATCACCATAAGATTTGTTTTAACTTTCACACAAAATATACATTGTAAATATGACTCCAAGTTGGAAAAAGTTACATGAATATTGCGCTGGCTTACAGTTGGATACAGCATGGGATATTATGGCTTAGAATCAAATATGACTCACTGATGTGACTCAGGAGTTGATACTAGTAACAAACAGGAAAAAGCTTGATATATGACTTGATATGATATGAAATAATTAAAGGAACTCCTCTGAGGTCCAAAAGGTTTATATAACATAAAATTTGAATTTCTGACATAAATCAGCTGGGGTTCTTAAAACAGAAAGACATGCAAATGATAATTAAGACATATACTCAAAAATAAATTGAAATTCGTATTTTTAGCTCCTCTTAGCCAGATTTAAGTGAAAAGCGTTTTGAAAGAATGACATAAATTAAAGTTTGACTCATTTACCATTTCTTTAAAGAAGTCATGGCAGAATATAAATGTAATACCTAGTTACTTTCACTATTATATAATCAAAGATATGAAAACATGGTGACGCAAAATGCTAATCGAGAAGGAAAATGAAGAAAGTTTTTGTGTGTGTATGCCATAAATCTTTTATCTTGCTACATTAAATATACAGAAGACAATCTGTGACCAGTGTTATTGATTAACCAGGCATTTTTCATGCTATTACAACTGTCTCAAGGCACATATGTTTAATTTTCTTCCTTTGAGAAAATGTCACAACACCACATTTCAATAAGCAAGGTTGAATTTTCACATTATTCCCTTCCGAAATGATATTCTTACAAACACAACAAGAGCTGTCGGTAGGACAGCATGCTCGACTATTCTTAGTGCTTGATAGTAAAAAAAATGCCTGATACAGTTACCTCCTCCTGTTTACAGGTTGTAAGTCATGATGGTGAAACAGTGTGCAAAGTTTCAAAAGCCATATGTCAATGGACTTTGAAAATATTTGAACTATTACAAAAACTTTAACGTAAATTCTAAGTCGAAAAAGGGGCATAATTCTGTCAAAATGCTTGATAGAGTTACCTCCTCCTGTTTACAGGTTGGGGTCATGATGATGTTGAACAAGTGTGCAAAGTTTCAAAAAGCCATATGTCAATGGACTTTGAAAATATTTTGAACTATTACAAAAAACTTTAACGTAAATTCTAAGTCGAAAAAGGGGCATAATTCTGTCAAAATGCTTAATAGATTTACCTCCTGCTGTCTACAGGTTGGGGTCATGATGTTGAACAAGTGTGCAAAGTTTCAAAGCCATATGTCAATGGACTTTGAAAATATTTGAACTATTACAAAAACTTTAACGTAAATTCTAAGTCGAAAAAGGGGCATAATTCTGTCAAAATGCTTGATAGAGTTACCTCCTCCTGTCTACAGGTTGGGGTCATGATGGTGAACAAGTGTGCAAAGTTTCAAAGCCATATGTCAAATGGACTTTGAAAATATTTGAACTATTACAAAACTTTAACGTAAATTCTAAGTCGAAAAAGGGGCATAATTCTGTCAAAATACTTGATAGAGTTACCTCCTCCTGTCTACAGGTTGGGTCATGATGGTGAACAAGTGTGCAAAGTTTCAAAGCCATATGTCAATGGACTTTGAAAAATATTTGAACTATTAGCAAAAACTTTTAACGTAAATTCTAAGTCGAAAAAGGGGCATAATTCTGTCAAAATGCTTGATAGAGTTACCTCCTCCTGTCTACAGGTTGGGGTCATGATGGTGAACAAGTGTGCAAAGTTTCAAAGCCATATGTCAATGGACTTTGTAAAATATTTGAACTATTACAAAAACTTTAACATAAGTGGTTACGCCGACGCCGACGCTCGGGTGACTGCAATAGCTCTACTTATTCTTATCGAATAGTCGAGCTAAAAATGTATAATTAAATGCCATATTGAAATCACATGTTTGTGATGTGACACTATAATACAATAACAAGCAGGTTATTAAGTCTTTACTAGGCTTTATTTTGTAATAAGGGAGTCTGTAATCAGTTTTTCAACCGTCTTATTCTAAACATCACTATTGAATCATTTTTGAGAACAAATATCTGATAGATAAATAACTTAAATATCTGTACATTAGCGTTATAGAGAATCCAATTATGCAGCCTTGGTACTATTTTTCAGTTAAAGGACATTATACCTCAGAAATTTCTTTAGAAAGGGCAAACATGAGTATATATTATTGAAATTATGGTTTTAGAGCGTGACTTTGTAAGATGCTTATAATCTAAAAAAATAAAGTGTTATTTTGACTTCTCTACAAAATACTTAATCACTATAACTGTGCTAATTACCAAAAGGCAACATAAGGAAATTCTTAAAGATGTTCAGGTAATTGGCCAATGAGTAACTTTGGAAACTATATCAAGACACCAAAAATTAAAAGCTTTTGAGAGATAAAGATAATTGCATTTCTAGGGCATAATAGGCCTTTAAAGCAAATAAACTTGGAAATTTTTTTTAAATTTTTAAGGATCATTCATGTGAAATTATATTTAAAGGACTGATTAAAACTTTTTGGCTGAAAAAGAATTTAAAAAATCCTGGTATTGTTACATTCTAAAAACTGAAATCATAAAACCCTTGATATATAATATATTAGAAATCCAAGCTTCAAGCAAATGTGTGTGTGTGTGTGGGGGGGGGGGGGGCTACAATTTAATCCCTGGGTTCAAAAAAAACTTTACAAAGAAAACAACTTAGTGAATTGTATAGAAAGGGCAGTAGTCCAGTGGTAGGACGAGCGCTTAGGGATCGGAGATCCCGGGTTCGAACCCCCACCAGGGGGCACTGCCTAATTTCCTTGAGGCAATTAGAGAATTTACCTGCTATTGTTCAACTTCACCCAGGTGTAAAAATGGGTACCCTGCAAGGGTGGTATAATTCCCTTGCGCCAAAGTGTCGGCTGCACTAAGCGGAGTTAAAAGACTCCCCAGGGAGATTGATAGATAGATACCAGTAGCCCGATGACCAGGGGTAATAGCTGTAAAGTCGGTGAACGTGCGTAAGCATGAAACTTAGACTATAAAATGCAATTTTTATAGATAATAACTGCAACAGTTCAATTACTCAATTGTAAACATTTGTAAATGAATGCTATAATGGTAAAAGTGTGTATGTACCCAGAATTAGATACATTAAACTTGATAGCATTTATTGAGAAGAAGTAGAATTTATTTGACAGACTTCATGGACTTCAGTTCATTTCTCTTGTTGCAATGCACTTTCAAATATAATAAATTTCTTACTCAAATTTAAAAATTCCATGTGTTAAAGGGTAGAAGAAACAGATATCATGCATAGTATATATAGCATCAAAAAAATTTCTAACCAGTAAATCATGATGTCATAACTTTGTCTGGAAATTATGCAACAGCAAACTATATACCTTTCATAGGTTACATAATTCATAGTACATGTAAACGGCTACTTTTACTGTATTTTTTTCTTTAGACTAAAGAGCCAAATTCCTGTGGTTTCATTGCAATAGTTAACCTAGACTATCTGCACCTCAAAATAGACTTTCTGCATCTGGAGTTAGACTATATGCACTTCAAGTAAGACTATCTGTACCTGAAGCTAGATTATCTGTGCCTCAAGCTGGGCCATCTGCACCTGAAGCTAGACTATCTGTGCCTCAAGCTGGGCCATCTGCACCTGAAGCTAGACTATCTGTGCCTCAAGCTGGGCCATCTGCACCTGAAGCTAGACTATCTGTGCCTCAAGCTGAGCCATCTGCACCTGAAGCTAAACTATCTGTGCCTCAAGCTGGGCCATCTGCACCTGAAGCTAGACTATCTGCAACTGAATGTAGACTATCATTCTGCACCTAAGGCTATATTACCTGCACCTCAAGCTAGACTATGTGCACCTGAAGTTAAACTATCTTCACCTGGAGGTGCACCTGAAGTTAAACTATCTTCACCTGGAGGTAGATTATCTTCTCAAGCTAGATTATCTGCAATTCAAGCTAGATTATCTTCAACTGAAGCTATACTATCTGCACCTAAAGCTATACTATCTGCACTCGAAGCTATATTTTCTGCACTTGAAGCTAGATTATCTGCACCAGAAGCTAGAATATCTGCACCAGAAGCTAGACTATCTGCACCTGAAGCAAGATTATCTGTGCTTCAAGCTAGATTATCTGTGCCTCAAGCTATAATATATGCACCTAAAGCTATACTGTCTGCACCTGAAGCTAGCTATACTGTCTGCACCTGAAACTAGATTATCTGTGTCTCAAGCTAGATTATCTGTGTCTGAAGGTGTACTATCTGCACCTAAAGCAAGATATACCATCTGCACCTGAAGCTATACTATCTGCACCTGTAGATAAGATTATCTGCACCTCTAGCAAGATATCTGCACCTCAAGCTAGACTATCTGCACAACCTCATGCTAGACAATATCTGCACCTCAATGCACCTTGAGCTAGACTATCTGCATCTCATGCTACACTATCTACATCTCAAGCTAGACTATCTGCACCTCAACTCTTCATTTATTCTCTTTTACTGAAGTGTGCTACATACGAGACTAGTACATGTTAAAACAGTGCAATGATCTTAATATAATATGTTACGGTAAAACAGCAGTCACAGATCGATAAACTGTTTTATAACATCCAGACATCTATACTCCCTAGTGGATTAATATAATTGTACAGTGATCTCTGCATCCATGATATATCTTTTACTGCTGACAGTAAAATAATAGTCTTAGTCTTCTAGGTTAATATCTATTTGAGGGAAAGTTGAAATTAAAGGTACACTGTTCAAGTCCACTAGCACTTTTCAAGATGAACTTGTGGCTATCGACTTCAAGTCTGTGAATATTTTTTTCAGGGCACAATTGGCTATTATAAACCCACATGTTAAAAACTTCTCTAGAAAGTACTTTTAATGTTATATATAATTTTCCACTAAAAGAGAAGTTCTACCAATCATTATAGAAATGTATATGTTTGTATCTAACATACTGAAAAAGGATGCAGGAATAGATAATCAACCACAGAATAATAAAATGTTAACATGATCCACAACTTATTGGAAACATATCAAAGTTACTAAGTAACAAAACTATTATTTCATAAAATAAACCTTTAAGTAATAGTTTTTCTCCCCCTATATCAGCTATATTAATTAAAAGAGCTGAAATTTTCAAACTGCTCCATCTAATTTGTCATAGAATATTCATTATATTGGACATGAAAAAAATGATGTGCATTAAGTGGTTTAATGTGAAGAAAAAAAAACAGTGAAACATTGATTTTTTCAAATTTTAATAGCTTCACAGGCAGTTAACTTCCTTATGGTTAACAACATTAGGTATTTTATGAGAACATACACAGCTGAAAAGAACTGATGGTTTTATGTGTCATAATTTTTTGGTCCTGCTTAAAATATTCAACACTAAAAAACACTTTCCTTGATAATTGAATAATGGGATTGCAGAAGAAAATCAGTACAAAATTTCAGATATGATTAGGCACCTTGTTGGAACCATTTAACAGGAGTAAGCCGGATTGTTTCCACACATAGCTAGATCTCTCAGGATAGAAGATGATTCAAAATAACCAATTTAAATCAATATGAAACCGAGGGCCATATTCATGTTAAGCCTTAGCATGTATGACAGGTACAAAATGTAGGTTAAAATTTAATGAGGAAGTGGATAAAGGTAAATAGATTTAAATTAAAGAAAAACTTCAATGATAAATCAATAGTCATAAATTTTGATAAAGAAAAAAAAATAAAGAAATTTTGTGCTTGGCTTACACCAATACTCACTCTAAGCCTATAAGAGAGCTTTTAATGTATGTATTGTGTATTGACTGTCAGTGATAATGATGCTTTACTATCAATATCTTTTACTTTTTCAACACTTATTTATTTATTCTCTTTATTTAAAAAAATCATACTTGAAGGTCGAGTAGTTTCCAAGGTAATTATATCAACATGAAGTATATCCATATTAAATGTATAATATTACACCAATACTAAAATGAAATGGTTAAAAATTTATTATAATTTTACGTTATGAAGTATTATATATTCTTATCTACTAGTAATGATCATGATGTAGATGAATATCATACTGCATTGTTTGATAATGATAAAAACACTGATAATGTAACAAGTGCATGATTATAAAATGATAGTCGTTATCAATATACACACATGATGCACAGAAAATTTAATTCATATCAAATGAGTGTCAAATCAAATCAAATTTAGTACATTAATGAATCAAAATTCCTCATCCATTAAGTAGGTAGATTGCTGCTCTTGATAAATAGAAGAGATAACTTTGTAAAATGAATAATCTAGAATAATTGAGATAAAATACAGAAAGCTGAACTTTGACCTTTGCATGTCCTAATTTTAGTGACCTTAAAAATGCTATCATTTTATTTGTTTTAACTAGTCAAAGTAATTTATTACTTTATATGGAAGAAAAAAATACCACTTAGTTTATTCGTTGCTACTTTTATGACAAATTATTTCATATTTATTGCTGCTTTCTTCACATATTCATAAAAAATTTAAATCATGCTCTTAAAACCAGTACTAGTAATTCAATGTAATAAACCATTGGCTTTGCCTTTTCTTCATAGGAAATCTAAGACTTAATGTGCTTTTGAAGAGATTTCAATATGCAATATATAAGGCAGTCAACACATTCAGTTTTTGGACAGAATGTATAATAATCAAAGCAGATGATAATGAAAACCCTTAGCCTGCTGGCAGGAACTAAATCTCCCCCCATGTGACCAGTGCAGACTGAGGTCATCCAGTACATCTGTGTCGTCTGATCATGGTCTGTACTATTCACTATTCAGTTAGTACATAATTGAAATTTTCCCCTAAAAACTATGAATGGTTTTGTCTAAGAAAAAAATGGGCAAGTTCATTTCAGATTGAGCATGATAAAGGGTGAACACAGTCCTCACCTTGTAAGTCAATGTTCTCTTTCTCCATGCGTATTAACAGTAATGTCTCTAGTATAGCTTTCCTCCACAGTGCCCTCAGTTCCTCCGAAGTCTTCTTCTTCCCATCCGCCTCCTCTTCTACACTTTCTACAATAAAAAAAATAGATTTGAGCCTTGTCATGACAAAACCAACAAAATGGGTTTGTGACCAGCATGGATCCAGACCAGCCTGCACATCCGCTTTTAGTTTTTCTACTTGTAATAGAGTTGGTAAGCGAACAGCATGGATCCTGATCAGACTGCGCGGATGCGCAGGCTGGTCTGGATCCATGCTGGTCGCAAACGCACTATGTTGGTTTTGTCGTGACGCGGCTCATTTCATACCATGATGACATTTTATATTATTACTTCCAAGAAAATATTATCTTTTTCATGATCTTTAAAACCTATCAGATAGTATCCACATAACATACTGACATTTTATTGGTGCATCCAAACATATGGAAGTTCTGTCTTAAAATTGAAAAAGTTTGTATTGAATAACTGATTTTATTCCCACTTTTATACTATGTTGCCTTCATTTAGACAGTCACAGTATTGGTTTAAATTGATATCTGCAAATGATCTACTATGTAAAAGGTTTTAATGAATGTAAAGTACAGAAGTAAAATAGAAGATAATGGAAAATATACTGAGGTAATTCACAAGACAAATTTAAACTGAAATCCTCATGGGGCAATACTGTATACCACTTTGACAAGTGGGAATTGGTACACAAGAACATGTTATTTTGAAATGTGGTAATGTATTACTTAAAATGGGAACTGAAATTATGTGAATGAAGGCAGGTTTTATGGCAGCAGAATCTTATAACATTCATAACCGGAAATGCAATGGACTGCTGTTAGTGTTTTACATCAAATATTTAGATACAAGCTTAATTCATTGTCAGCTATTTTTTAAAACTATGACAACAAAAACAGAAACAAAAAATATTTTTATATCAAAGCTGAAAATATACAAAGTGTATTACAAAACCATTAAACTGTACCTTCTAAAGTTTCTGTACTAGGATGCTTGGCAGGTGTGACAACTCTGTTAAATATAGCTTGGCGCCAGGAACCACGCCTGTGAGCAAGGTGAGATTCTGGGGAAAGTAACTGGTTCCCATCTTCACTATGGCGAGTACCACCAGAACTTCGTCTTACAGGGGAACCAGTATTGGCAAGTATAAACCTGGTAATTGTAAGTCAAAGCATATAAAACCAAAACATTTTCAATTAGTTTTCTTAACCGTTCAGTGCTTCCTTCAATAACTGCATTTGTTTTCAAGAGAAAACCAAAAATTTATTTTTTTCCAATTATTTATATAAACCAGTTTCATTTGAAAGACAAGCTAATATTTAGGTAACAACAAGGAAAATATATACCAGGTGAATGTATAAGTTTATGGGTTTTATTTACATAATACAATAAGCAGGAAGCTTTTTTAACCTCAAGTTCAAAATGTTATATCCTTCATTCCATTAACATTCAATCAACTATATGTAACCCCCTCAATATTACACAGTTTTAAAGAATCATGTATTACGGATAAGATATTGACCACTCAACCCAGGTATTGTAGGTTAGAGTCCAACATCAGTCATTGTGTTACCTCATATGACATTAGTACTGCCGAGTCCAGAAAAAGGATTTGAGAATGGTTTAGAATGTTGCACTTATTCATTATCCCTCACATACAGACTCGATCAAACTGAGTCTGCAATTTTCATTTCATTTGTGATTAACGCTTCCGAGGGATCATCCTTCTCCCAGATTTGTTGTTTACAGGTTCTCTCACATATAAATCTAAACAAAGAAGTTTATACTTACACTATATATTCATTCAAAATATAGTGTCTTAAAATTGAAATGTTCATATTTAAAATACTTGCATGTGCTTCATAGGGCTCTCACTGGCTCTACGTTTTTCTCGTTCCTTCTTTTCTTTCTTCTGTCTCTCTTCTTGTCTGGCCATCACTCTCTCTACAGTGCTGGAGTCTGGAACAGCTCCTACAGTAGCGCTTCGAGGTCGAGTACCCTGGGTAGGGGAAGGTGGTGGGCTAGGGAACTCAAAATTAGGTTGATCCTTATTAATGAGGGCAGGGGATGGAGCTGGGGACATGTCGGGAGTGTCCTGTAAATATTCATACAAAATCCTTAAATACCCTTCTTAATTAAGAAATAATATATCCCAAACTGTGATTTTATCGCTCAATAACATCACTGTTTGGAGTTCGGATGCGAGGAATTATATCACGAGGGCGTAGCCCGAGTGATATAATGATGCGCATCCGAACGACAAACAGTGATGTTATCCAGCGATAAAATCACCGATTTGGATATATTATTTCGATTCTAACACGACGTAAACAAAAAAATGCTGCCGTACCTGCTATTAAGCAAAATTGCGCCTGGTTTGTTTCCGTACTTATTGTCAGCGCGTCGGATTTTATAGTGGTTACGTCACATGTATAATGATTACGTCACATGTCTAAATATAGACCGTCAAACAGTGACTCTATTGCATAATAACACACACTTTCGGTTCTTCTATGTTCAATAGGGAAAAATGCGGGTCGTGTTAGAATTAAAGTTATTACATTTCTTTCATTATTAAAAATCTTTTACGTACAAGAATAGCTGGAAACTATAAATATTAGAATAAACTAATTCTAATTTTAAATGTCTGTGAATAATTATTTTTTGTTACACAACAGATTAAAGAAAAAATAAAATTTTGTCTTTTGTTTTCCTTTTTAAACAGGAGTGATTTATATTCCCCACCTGATCTCAATGACACAGGGTATAATGTAGTGCATTTTATTTAGTTTTGAAAGAAAACATTTGAGTTTAAAAAAAAGTCATATGAAAAGTATATATTTTCAGTGCAGACAAATGTTTTAATTTTCCTTCACCTTCAAGGGTGATTTTGACCTTGAATCTGCACAGCAGTGGCATAAGTTCTGAGCATCACCTTGTTGTGGTTAACATTTGAACTTAAGTTTAAAGAAAATCCTTCAACTGATATAGGATTTAAAGAGCAGACACAAAATTATTTGACATTTGACTTTTAAGGATGACCTTTACCTTGCACAGAAGCGTCATTGGATCTTCACACTGCCTTGTTGAGGTGAACATTTAAGCCAAGTTTGAAGAAAATGCTTTTAGGGGTAAAGGACTTATATAGTGAACATGAAATTGTCTGATATTTAAACTTTGACTTCCCATGGACCTTGACCTTTAGCCAGCTGAGAGGTAGCATGTGTTCTGTACCTCACCTTATTAAAATGAATATTAGAGCCAAGTTTGACGAAAATCCTTCAAGGGGTATAGGATTTATAGATTGGACACAATGACACAATGGAGACTGAGGGACAAACGGACATCTGACTCATCAACCAATGCAACAAAGTGATTCCATTCATTACGTTGCAAGGGGTATAAACATAAATGCATAAAAATCATGTGAATAAAGTTTTTATAAACTATTTAGTTTACGTACAACAGATCTTGAGAAACTGCCCCCGTCACTTTCATTTGTTCCACTACGATGTCGGAATGCTCCTTTCATCTCTTCTGTCTTGTGGTGAACATTTGTTATCAAATTCTCAAATGAACTTGTAAGAGTTTTTTTGGCTCGGTTACGTAGAAAATCAAAGGTTGACTTGTTACCCTTGTCTTTCATCTCAATCAGGTAAAACTGAATAGAATTATCAGGAATAAAGTCTTATGAAAACTTCTAATATCACAAATAGGATAATATTTGATAATATTTGATAATCAGACTCTAAAATATACAAATAACAATAATGAAAACATACCACCCACTTAAGCAAATCAACTAAATTAAGTGATAAAATAAAAGATTGAAAATACATTTAAAGTTACATCTTCATAATGATGGCCTTTTTTCTCGTAAAGGAAGTTTGCAGCAATAAAAATTTGTTATAAAAATTCTTAACAGTTTATATGGCTGTATATAAACAATTATTTGCAATATAACTCTCACTAAACCGCTCGAGGCTACAAAACAAGAGGGCCATGATGGCCCTGAGGTCGCTCACCTGTATATAGCCCCCCCCCCCAACCCCCCAACTTTGCAGGGCCAATTTTAACCCAAGGGCTTTTATTTGCACAAACTTGGTAGACACCCATAATAAGATGTTTCATGCTAAACATCTAAGCTCTAGCTCATTGGGCTTTTAAAAAGAAGATTTTTTTAAAGTTTTTACTGTACACATATAGTTAAAAACAATGACACCCCTGGGGCCGGGCCAGTTTTGACCCCAGGGCTTTTATTTGAACAAACTTTGTAGACACTAACTAGAAGATGTTTCATGCTTAATATCTAAACTCTAGCTATTTGGGTTTTTTCAAAGAAGATTTCAAGTTTTTGCTATACACATATATAAGGAAAAGCAATGATCCCCGGGGCGGGGCCAATTTTGACCCCAGGGCTTTTATTTGAACAAACTTTGTAGACACTCACTAAAAGATGTTTCATGCTTAATATCTTAACTCTAGCTATTTGGGTTTTTTCAAAGAAGATTTTTTAAGTTTTTGCTATACACATATAAGGAAAATCAATGACCCCAGGGGGGGTGCCAATTTTGACCCCAGGGCTTTTATTTGAACAAACTTGGTAGACACCTATAAGAACATGTTTGATGCTAAATATCTTAGCCATAGCTCTTTGAGTTCTTTAAAAGAAGATTTTTTAAGTTTTTACTATATGCATATAGGGAAAATCAATGACCCCCCGGTGCAGGGCCAATTTTGACCCCAGGGCTTTTATTTGAACAAACTTGGTAGACACTTATTAGAACATGTTTCATGCTAAGTATCTTAGCTCTAACTCTTTGGGTTCTTTAAAAGAAGATTTTTTAAGTTTTTACTATATGCATATAGGGAAAATCAATGACCCCCTGGGGCGGGGCCAATTTTGACCCCAGGGCTTTTATTTGAACAAACTTGGTAGACACTCACTAGATGATGTTTCATGCCAAATATCTAAGCTCTAGCTCTTATGGTTTTTTAAAAGAAGATATTTAAAGTTTTTTCTTTCGGTTGCCATGGCAACCAGAGTTCTGCATGGAATTAAATTCTTTGAACAATTTTTAAAGGTGACCACCAAAAGAACATTCCTGTGAAGTTTGGATGAAATTGGCTTAGTGGTTTATGAGAAGATGTCATTTAAAGTAAAAGTTTACGGACGGACGGACGCCGGACGGACGCCGGACGAAAAGCGATCACAAAAGCTCACCCTGTCACTTTGTGACAGGTGAGCTAAAAAACAACATTTCTGGGCCATATATATAACTTGACAAAATCTTAATAACTAATAATGTATATTATTATAACATATACTCACATCTGATTTTTGAGATCCTTTGTTAGTTTCTGAGATATGAGAGTGTTCTTTCTGTTTTTGTTCACAGAGCCTCCTGATAGCAACCATGAGAACCTCCACGGACTCCTCGTAACACTGGGGATTCTCATTCTGTAAAATAAATAACCACAAATATTTACTATAGTCACACTCCTGTTGAACTGGTCTGTTTAATGTACATGCCCTGCTTTGAATTTCAATTTTCCAACTGTTTTTGTTCATAGATTCTGGGATTTTTTATATCCGAATATAAAAATTGAGCACTCTAGAGTATCAATTCTAGAGAAACTACATTTTTGTAAATGGAGATGCAAGATCAGGCCAGATTAGAAAGGTGGCATATGACTTTCGTCAATTAAGGTCCAAGACTAACAAGCAATTATCATAGTATTGCAAGCAATCCATAAGTCCCCTACCGGTTAGAACCCCATCAACATTCTGAAGGGCCATTGGCCATTCACAAATGTTTCAATTTTTCTCTATTTTAAAAAAATTTGTTGAAAAAGTTCTTTAAAAGTGATCACAGGATACAGTTTTTATGAACAGACAGACAGACGGACTGAAAGACACTCTAAAGTTAATATTTGAAACATCCCTGTTACCAAAATATACCATTTTAAAAGCAAAATTCTTAAAGAGGAGATAACTCTTGAATTAAAGATGCAATTTCATAAAAATGTTCAGCTCTTTTTGACTAATCACAAATATTGTTATATTTGCCATGTTTTAAGCCTATTTGTTGCCAAGGCACTGATATTTTTTCAAAATAGGAAGAACAGATAAGGCATGCATAATCTCAAGACTGCTATCTACCCATATGTCAAGTTTCATAAAAATATTTCCAGTACTTTTTGAGTTATCACTGGATTCAGTTTATGTGTAAAATTTGCCATATTTTCAGTCTATGTGTTGCCATAGCAACCAGAATTTTCAACATAGGAAGAAAAGAAAAAAAACGTGCATAATTTCAAGACTGCCATCTACCCATATGTCAAGTTTCATAAAAATATTTCCAGTACTTTTTGCGTTATCACTGGATCCAGTTTATGTGTAAAATTTGCCATATTTTCAGTCTATTTTTAGTCTATTTGTTGCCATAGCAACCAGAATTTTCAACATAGGAAGAAAAGAAAAAGACGTGCATAATCTCAAGACTGCCATCTACCCATATGTAAAGTTTCATAAAAATATTTCCAGTACTTTTTGCGTTATCACTGGATCCAGTTTATGTGTAAAATTTGCCATATTTTCAGCCTATTCGTTGCCATAGCAACCAGAATTTTCAACATAGGAAGAAAAGAAAAAGACGTGCATAATCTCCATACTGCCATCTATCCATATACCAAGTTTCATAAAAATATTTTCACAGTACTTTTTGAGTTATCACTGGATTCAGTTTATGTGTAAAATTTGCCATATTTTCAGTCTATGTGTTGCCATAGCAACCAGAATTTTCAACATAGGAAGAAAAGAAAAAAACGTGCATAATTTCAAGACTGCCATCTACCCATATGTCAAGTTTCATAAAAATATTTCCAGTACTTTTTGCGTTATCACTGGATCCAGTTTATGTGTAAAATTTGCCATATTTTCAGCCTATTTGTTGCCATAGCAACCAGAATTTTCAACATAGGAAGAAAAGAAAAAGACGTGCAAAATCTCCATACTGCCATCTATCCATATACCAAGTTTCATAAAAATATTTTCAGTACTTTTCAAGTTATCGCGGGATCCAGTTTTGCGGACGGACTGACAGACAGACAGACAGACAGACGGACAGAGGGTAAACCTAAAGTCCCCTCCGGTAAACCGGTAGGGGACTAAAAACAGTTAAAATCACAAGACTTTAGTGTTTTAAGTGTTAACTCAATTCACTTCTCTCTTTTTGATTAGTGAATGTTCAAGATATTGGTATTTATACAACAGTTTGTTTTGCACTTATCCATAAACATAAGCCTTATGTGACTTGATACCTGAGTCAATATATCAAATTAGCATGTTCAACTTACATAAAATGTAAATTATTAACTGTGTTGATAGTTCATTAACTACTACAATGCATGCAACATTATTGTTAAAGATTGCATGCAGACTGGTTTTTATGGCAAGATATAGGAGAATTATTCCTGAATGCTAAATCTACTACAGCAATGAGTTTATCCCAATATTCTCTCAATAAATAGATCATTCTCCGAAAATTATATCAATTTCAGAGAAATTTGGAATCATAAATTTCAGAGAAATTTGGAATCATAGATAATGACACAACTTTCAGTTTTGCTTTATCTCAGGATTCCATTTTAGCAACAGTATTTTAATAGGTAAATAACCTATTCTGTACTGAAACTTTCCTGTTCTCAAGAACTGTTTTCTTTTTTTTCTTCTAAAAATAGATATCTTAAGGAGTGCCATTGTCCATTACAAAAACTGGAGGTTCAAATCTAAATGATACATGAGCTATGTATGTCAGACCATTATACTCCTAATGTATATGCAGGCATAAGATAAAAAGTGCTAAAATGTGATAGAACCTGATGAAAAAAAGAAATAAAACAAACAGAACCTGATATTGAGTGGAAAAGAATTTTACACTGTGACCTTGTACCTCAAAATAAATAGGGTCATCAACTAGCCATGGGCAATGTCCCAACCAAGTTTCACAAATGAAGGTTAAGTGCTAGGTGCTTTATCAGTGGTTCCACATGACTGCATATTTTCTGTATAGATTTTGTATATTATTCCCTCTCAAGTTATCTGAGACTTACCCTGATCTTGACCTTTGACCTAATTATCCCTGAGTATGACCAGACTGCACAGTTGATGGGGATATAGTCTAATTCTTAATGCTTACAGTGACCAGAGTTCAGAAACTAGGTTCATATCAGGATTTTAATACAGTTAGTCTAAAATACTCAGTGACAGAAACATCAAAAGAAAAGCTGTACGAACCTGTAAAGAATGATACAGCTCATTGGCATCTTTCTCTAACAGTTGCTGGATTCTTTTACACAATAAATTGTAGGCTATCTCCGCATTTTGACCTGAAATATACACATTGTATAATTATAATAACTAGACAACAAATGAATGATTAATTCATATACTTGTTCACATGACAACATTGTACGAAAAACAATAACAAAGTTTGAACAAACAATATAATAATATATTTAAATTTCTTTCTGTAAGTGTTTCAGAATTACAAAGGTCATTAATTAACAGTGTTTTATTTAGAACATTATGTTTCCCATTTACAAAATGGTTGCTTCGAAAAAATTTCAATTTTAGTTAAAATGTCTACAGTCTTTGGCAGATAATGATTTATGTGCAAAGACATAATTTTCCAAGTTTATTTTACAAGTCTGAAGATATAAACTTGCTTGATATTTCAATCTGCAAATATTTGCATGTCATTATACATGTGTATTAAAGACTAACCTTATTATATTTCAAATTTACAGAGCTCTGAATAAGAAATGGCCTATAATATAAGACTCAATTTTGAATCATATGATAAATAGAAAGGATTTTTGTCACAAAAACATGTCTCCCCTAAACTAGGTATGGTACTAATAACTTCTGTGAAGTTTGATTGAAATCCAACCAGCAGTTTGACCTGTGAAAACCGGACCGGATTTTTCTATTTATAGCTGTGGCGCCCATTTTGTGAAGCGAAAGGCAAACATGCCAGCATTATGCACAGCTAAGGATAGTACTGATCACTCCTGTGAAGTTTCATTGAAATCGCCAATAGTTTGACATGTGAAAGCCAGACAAGATTTTTCTATTTATAGCTCTTGTTGCCATTTTGTACAGGGAATGAGATTATTATTATTAAAGCACAACTAGGGATAGTACTGTATCATTCCTGTGAAGTTTCAATGAAATTCTGCTAGCAGTTTGACCTGTGAAAGCCAGACAAGCTTAATGCGGATGGACGGACGGACGGACAGACGGACGGGGAAGGCAAAAACGATATGTCTCCCAAAAATTCATAATCAGTCTCAATGATAACCTAATGACGGTCTATTATTCTAATAATAGTCAAGATTTTTCCTGAAACTTTGCATACAAGAGGAAAAATAGGTGCAACCACTAAACAAACTGGGAAGATATTGAATGACCTTCAAAAGTATCAGTGAAACTTTTAAAACCAATAAAAAAGCACTCAATTCTACATTTCATATCACATGAGTTATTAAAGTTACCATTTATATCCTGGCAGAGTTTATGGTATTGATGTAGAGGACAGTTGATACAGATTTGTTGTGTTTGTATTCTACTTTGTTGATAGGCATTCTGGAATGATGTCCTTAATGCTGACATTATCTCATCTGTCTGGAATGGAAATGATGAAAATGCTCCAGTAAAGAAAATGCATATCAACAAAAGATCTCATTCTGATACATTTTGAATGATGCTAGAATGGTATTGTAATTCATATATGTCATATGATCACATCCAAAATAATCAAACAAAAAATAAATAATTAAACAAAATGTAATTCACTATCTTACAGACTGCTTTGTTTTATTATTAAGGTAAACCAAATTAGAAAGAACACAGATGACACAACATAAACAGGCCAAAAAAATTTGTTAACTTCTGTTCTCAGTTATACCTAACAAAACTACTACATGATGACATAAAACAGTTGAACATGTGCATGAGGTTTCAATTTGCTTCAATCAATAACCATTTTTGATTAACTATAAAATTTTCATGGATTCTATTAATAAACAAAATGCTCTGAGATTTTTTCAATTACAAGCTTGGCTGACAATTTTTAGCAAGAGCTAAATGTTATGGGCTTATACATTAAATTTAGTTTATATCATTAAAGACTTTACTTACAAAATGTCTTATACTTTAGCTATTAGTTTTAACCAATGTGACTTATAAATATATTCATTTTAGCTTTTGAAATAAGTCCTGGCAACTTCAAAATTTATCATTTTCTGGTCTTCTAACCAGTAGTGTAATATAAGAGGAAACATGGCCATGACATTTGCAAGATTCAGACCCAGGATCCCTGGGATTCAAGTCGAGGTCACTGCTCCCATTACAACTTATATGCTATACAGGCTGTATCCCAATTACATACCTGCAGTAAAGGGAACTGAAACTGGTAACTTTTAAAATATATCCAATTACAAAACCTTATATGGCTTTCTTTCTCCTTTTTCCTCAATTCTATAACTCAAAATACAATTTTCTAATATACTCTTCATTAGTGAAACATAAAAGATCTAGTAAACATACCAGATCATGACTACAGCACCGCAGTAAATGACAAAGTAGTTGAGCACCCGGCTCACGTGATATGAACCCAAATACATCTGGCTTTAAGTTTCCCTGCAATAGAAACAATTATTATATGTTATTCAAATAGACAAAACATTTTCAAAACAGCATTACTGCAAATAAAATTCAATAACAATTTTGTCATCTGAAAAAAACATTATATGATTTCAACTAATCCAATCAGTGTTTCACAATTTAACAAAAAAATACTTTTCTTTCGGATTTTAAGAGAGGTTCAAAATAAATAACATTAATTTGAAGTAAAACAAAAATATCTAAATTGCTTATCTAATACTATGATACCAAAGCCAACAAATTTAAATATTTGATGAAATTAATATGGAAGGTGGTAAATGAGTAATTTACAGACAGGACAGGGAACCTAGTTACAAAAACTTCAATACTTTGTAATTGTAGTCATTTTGTTTGCTTTCTTCCTTTTCAATTACATTATTTCCTATTTAAAATGGCATAATACCAATGAACCTTAACCTTTACCCTGCAAAAGGCGAAAGTGATAAGTCTTTGACACCAGTATAGAGCCAGGCCCCCCCTGCACATTGGTGAAGTCTGACCAGGCTCTATACTGGTGACTGACCAACTATAAATTCTCACCTTGATATACCTAAAATTGATAATGGACTGTTCCAAAATGGAAATTGGAAAAGTCCATATAAGAAATTCAGCAGGTTAAACAACAAATTATAAATAAACTAACCTGTGACACAGATGAAATGTTTTTGAACTTCCTTTCGATGATTGTTTGTTTCTTATCTAAACTGATCAATGAAATCTCACTCTGCCCTATTCTGAACAACATTGTTCTATTTGTTGACCTGTCATGGTTGCCATGGTTATCGTGATCCTGAAAATGTACATGACCTTCAGGATGATGCTGTAGGCCATGAAACATATCTTTAAGCTGGTCCCCAGAATGTGAGCTATGAAGCCCATCTGAAACATTCTCGGAGGAACTGTGTCCACCGTCACTAAGCTGGTCTGTACTGTTACTACGTTGGTTTCTATGGAGATCATTAGTGGTGTCTCCTGGCAAATGAACCTCGTCACTACTTCCTGTGGGAGAATCATTATGCAATTCAACACCTTGAAATATAGTTTTTTGAGACATTTTCTGCAATTCATTTTCCTTTACAGACGTTTCATCAAGTAATGTAGGTAGACTTTTTATACTTGAATCACTTTTATGACGTCGCCTATCATGTGACTCGCCACCAGTTTCTGCAATAATACTATTTCTTTGTTCTTTAGCTTCCAGTCTCATAACAAGATCGTCAATGTGACTAGACAAAATTTTCTTGCCCCTGACCTTGGCTCGACCCACATACATGACCTCGTAACATGCTTTCGTCGGTTCCGGCTGGCGTGGTTCCATCTCCTCGAAGATATCCCGCTGGGTCGCTCCACGTATATTCTGAAACAGCTCTGGAACCTACAATACATAAGTAGAAAATTGTTGACGTCATCTCAATAAGATTCTTTAGATAAATCTATATCTTTTAAATAATCACAATACATTAAGTATTCCTCTGTCTATCTTTGTTTACAAAAATTTATGCACATTACAGCTATCCTAATGACACTTTGTGGTTTAAAGCACAATATACACCAACATTTATAACTCCTAGTTTTAGAGTGTTTTATACAGTAATAAATCATAATATACATGAGAGTATCCCTATCTATAATCCTCACATTTCTTACTTTCTTCACTAAAGTCAGTCACAAGCACAAAGGAGCTTAAGAGATATGTTTTGTCTTACACATTAAGCTCTTGTTAAGCTCACTATCCCCATCTATATATAAAACAATATCTTTCTTTTTCTGTTTACATGGAAGGAAATGCACCTCAGTCAGTTCAAAAATCATCAATTAATTCCTCCTATTTAACTTGATGTTTTGATGACTATAATTGTTTATATCAAATTTATCTTAGATTAATGTATATAACATATACCTATAGCTTGTCATCTAGTTAGAATTGTTGTCATAAATACAAATACAAAATAATATTATGCGAGACCGACACAACAGTTACTGTCTTGTTGCAATAAAAATATTATAAATCTTATTCGTACTATGAAGGCTAAAAAAAAATAACATCTTTAAAGCAATCAAATCATGAACTATATAAGAATGATGTAAATCAACCATACCTTTATATCTACATACACATATATAAATATACCTGCTTTGATTGCCTCAATCTGGATTTTTCAGGTTCACAATAAAATCAAATCTATCATGAACGCAATCAATTACTAAAAATTTTACTAGTGATTTTTTTTTAAATTCAAATGAAATACTGCTAAAATTACTTCACACAATAAACAAAATAATTAGTAACACTTTTTTAAGTGTTTCAAATTTATCATCACAAAAATGAGGTTATGACTCATAATGTACGTAACAACTCTAATCTTAATATTACATTTGAAAAATTTTGAAGTAGATAAGTTTAATCAGTATGATATATTAGCTGTAGTTTAAGTATTACCTAGCTTAATATTTGTAATACACCAATAACTTGTAACCCGTGCCCCACCCCACAGGTAAGGAATAGCAGGATTTTTCCTTCAGTCTACTAAAGGCACCACCCTGTGCCTCATGCTAAGTAACCCCATCATAAAGATGACTGGCATAAAAATAGTTACAAAAGTCACTTTGGTCTATTTTTTAACTCCAACTATGCAAATGTGGGTTTTTTTCCCCATCTAATCTACTTTTTTCACAAATGAGTGATCAATTATTAACTAGTACAAACAAAGTTGTAACTGTGGAAGTTTGTTAAATTTGTAAATTTGTTATATTCCTAAATATTTTTTTATTCCCAAGTAACTCTATTTGTTACACTGTTAAATCATTATGACATCTGTCCAGCATTGCTGGTGGAGGATTTATCAAAGACCAGACAAGACTTCAAGCATAAAGTTGAACATGACTGACACTTCAGGATTATAATTTAAAGTCTGTAACAGAAAATTCCAGGGTACTCTCCTGCTTATTAACTTTTTAGTTAATCTAACTGCATGTTTTTATTGCATTTACTTAAACAAAGACCAGCAAAGGAAACTATAGGTGAAAGAGACCACTCAGCCTAAAGCAGCCATAAACAGTATCCTTTTAGGTCATATCAACTTTGCTTCACGTTATTAGACGCTTTTTATTATCTAGACCCTACTAATGTTCTCAAGGCCCTTTCTAATGTAAAGGCCCTATATGCTAATTGTCAGTTCAAGGTCCTACTTCATGTCCAGGCCACATTTCTTGTCCACATCCTAACTGCAAACTTTAAGTTGATATTAATTTCAAAGCTTTATTATTTTATTGTTAAATAACAATAGTGAAACAATTCAAAATTTTTAATTATTATAAGGCAGTTGATGAAATTACAATTGACATTCATCCACATGATGATAAACCTAACAGTACAATGTTTATAAATAGTTATTATTATTGATCGAAGAGTGACTGACCGTCTCTTGACCAACACTGGCAAACACAAGAAATAATGTAACTCTCTCATATTAGGAGCATGATGTAGCTTATAATGATTATAATGATGTAGCTTATAATGATGTAGCATATAATGTAGCTTATAATGATGTAGCTTATAATGATGTAGCTTATAATGATGTAGCTTATAATGATGTAGCTTATAATGATGTAGCTTATCATGATGCTGTTAATCTGGATTTAACAATATAAATTTGGTGGTCCCCAAAGTATTGTTATAAGTGATTGCACAGTTTACAGTAATATGGACTTTGACTTGAAGAAGTATAAGCAGTCTCAAATACTGGACAGCTTATTAAACATTGCAGATTATAGATGTCCCTTGGGGGGGTCAGGTAAAATGATATCACCATCACATTTACTGAACTACCAACATACATGTCATGTAGCATGTTTTGTATGCAAATGTAAATACGCATGCAAGTTTCAGTAAATGTATATACTTTTTTTAATATAAAAATATGGAAATGAGATTTATACACTTCAAGCTATGATAGGTCAGTCAAAAGAAATTTTAGATTTACCAAAATTTAAAGTTTAAAGCTGCATGCCTCCAGATGAGCCAAAATATTTTAAGACAATAAAACTTTGGAAAGATAACTAAGATTGTAAGAATGGTAAAAAGATTCAAAATTCAAGTACTAATTTATATCTTATGTGCTTCGAATGACTGATTTTGCAGTATTGATTATCATATTTCTACTGCGTTACTAACGCAGTAATGGATATTTATGCAAATTTTGCCCTCTTTTTGGTAATTTAAATGGATTGTAAGTACCGTTTGCAATGTGTTAATTTACTCTCTTTGTTCATTTCACAATATCTTACTTTTAAATACATTTTCAAAATTTTCTTGAAAATAAGGATAAATGTGGAGGCGTGCTGCTTTAAGAAAATTCCATTTTTAATAAAAATTTACTCAGCAAGTTTTTATTACGATACATTTATGTTTCCCCTCTTTTTCATGTTGATCTAAGATCTGCCTTCAAAGTTACACCTAATTTCCCCTAAAAACATTGGTCTCTTTTGGAGCTTCAATCCAAGAATTGCTTCATGACATACAAACAGATAAAAATGACAAAAAAATGAAACTTTTTGGCTTCAACAAATCAATACATAAAATAATACATGCCATATTGATAAGAATGTCTGAAATTATCTGAAAAATATGAGAAGCTACAGTTTAACTTCGTTCGCTCGAACTCGGATCGCTCGAATACCTCCCTTCGCTCGAACTCATCGCCCAGTCCCGGCAAAATTCCTATATCACATATATTGTTCTACCTCGGATCGCTCGAACACTGATCGCTCGAACTCTCGAACCTGATCTCTGGTCCCTTCGGCAGAAATATAGTGAAAATCACACCTTTTCGGTCGAACTCAAAAAGACAAGTCGACAAGTTCTAAATAAATGACAGTCGGCGACACATGTTTTTTTAACACCTCATGATCGTGACAAAGGCAATTAAGGTTAATTGATACAAAATAAGAGGTGTTGTAACCGATTTGTTTGTTACAATAATATTGGGTTATTTGCCGTTTATGGTAACGATAAAAAGAAATAAGTGAAATATGCAAAAGTCAGTAAAGAATGATGTTTACCCGGACGGCTTTAATTACAACTGTAGTTCATGTAACTTTAATTGTAACAGTGTTTATCTATTTATAGAATGATACTTGTACGTGTGTTTGTTATTATTAGTAAATGACTACAAAAAGATGCTGCTGTCAAACTTTTTTGTCAAATATTTCATTAATTTATCTTTTAAAATTAAATTAATCCCATTATAAACATATGAATATATTTTGAACATTGGTCAACAAGTTTGGTCTGATTGCCCAATCGAACTCAACCAAATACAATATGCATGAGTACAGATTAACACAACGTACCGTTAATACTTAGATAATAATTCTGAATATAACATATTTGACGAACAGATGTACTATCAAACAATTATATTGACGTATTTATCATCAGACTTATGTATGCTAGAAAACCTTTAGACATATGATCAACGTAAAAATAGTACAACCTCGGTTGGCTCAAACTACCGATCTCTCGAACAAATTGCATAGGCCCTTCGAGTTCGAGCGAACGAAGTTCGACTGTAAATGTTTCTGAGAAATGATAAGCAAGAATCACTAATTCTTCTTACTGATGATTTTGTTTCCAGTTGTAACTTGGAGATAATTAGTTATATTACTAATGGTAAGTAGAAATTTTGGGATATTATATCTGTTTCATTATAGAGGGAATTCCCAGTATAGAAATATTATATGATACAACAAAAAGTGCTCCTTTCTTTTTGATTGAACAATATATAAGAACAAATACCAAAGCTTCATGCACTATCTATGTTTAACCTCTCTGTACTTACTTACTTACAAACAACTGGGGAAAAGTATGGGTTTCTTGGTTTTTTTTGTTTTCTTTAACAGCTCACCAACACAATTTAAGATCATATGGCGCCGAAACAGGAAAGATTATTCGGGCTACCCTTGGGTGTTACAAAGTTAAAGCAACACTAGGGGTCAAAACCACCTTACCTGCTGGAGCTAAGAGATGCTTACACTCCAGTAAATTCAAACCCATTAAGTTTGCCTCTTAAGATTATGCAAAGATAAATGGTAGCTGCAATTCTGATACCTCAACCCTTAACCATAACGGCAACAGCTTCATTTAGTCACCTCTAATGATCATGCATGGATAAAAGGTGCCTGCAATTCTGATGCCTCAACCCATAACGGCAACCTCTTCAGCTACAAAATGGCTGAAGAAGTAAAGGGAGGTGGGGGGGGGACATTTTGCAAACAAAAAAAAAACAAAAAAAAACCACGCACATCTATTACAAGTGCTATATAAATAGTGGCATACAATACAGGAAGAAATGAAATCTGAAGCATGTACTGTCAGATTAAATCAAACATTTTGTTTCCTTGTCACTCATGTTTATCTCTAACTTATGAAGTTACAGATTTTAAGTCAGATAACTGTAAACAAACATTATATTATGTATAAATAATAGCCAATCTGCAAGGGTTGTAATTCTCTTATTATTCTTTAACAAACTTTCCAGCCTATTTATAAAGTTTCAGATAATTCATCAAAGTAATAAGAGTAAATATATCTATATATGGTGTTCATTATAATGTCAAACAACTAAACATCGTATCTATCTTTCCAGAGCCTTAAATAAATCCTACAATAATTACAGAAGTGTAACCATACACTAGAGAAAAAAATCTACATCATCTTTTATCAACCTCTTAATATTCCACTTCCTAGACTACTGAACATCCATGTTAATTCAGCCCTGAGTTGAGAGGCAAACACCTTAACAAATAGACTACTGCACATTGTAAAGGTACAATATGAAGTATTCAATGAAGTTTATTTATTTTCAAGTTTCATAGTGATATACACATATGAATCCTCATGTGCAATTTTTTATCTAATGGACGATATTTTAGCTACGATATGTCAAAATATAGCAACCTCGAAAATGATGGAGTATAGTAAAGTAGACAATCAGACAAGCAATAAAATAATGTTTTCTAACCCCTAACCACCCCTTTTTTATGGTTGTATATTATTTACATCACAACAACACAGTATAGGTCAAAACCACTAGTCCACTACCATGCTGGAGTTTCAGGTTATTAGTCTTAAGCATCAGTAAAGATCTGGGCTAGCCCGACAATCTGTATAGTCTGACCAGGCTATGACTAAAACAATTTTTTTTTTCTTAATTGGTATCCAAAAATTGGCAGTTCCAAAAATGGTAGGAATGGGCAAGTCCATTTAAGAAATTTGGCAGATCAGGGGTTAACATCTAAATATCCCTAACTCGAACTCCTACATGCACAGAAAAATGAATTTCACAAACATTTTTTGTATCATTTGACTTGTATTTGCAAAGGTCATATTTGAATTATACAACATAAGGATTCTTTTGAACAAGTATAAATCAAATCTATACATAAATAACAAAGACATGGCTAACAGGTTTTTTAAGTGAAATTCACTAATTTGACCTTAAGTGTCAGGGTTATATTTAGGTTAAGGTCAAGTTCATTCTAATGTCCCAAAGATTGTTTTGCCCAAGTTTGTAGACAATCCATTTACTGCTTACAAAGTTATAGCCAATTAAAGCAAAAATAAAACTCTGTAATTACAATAATTTGAGCAAAAAGGTCAAGGTCATTTATGAGTGAAGGTTAAACTAAGTTTGATCTCCCTTAGGACACTGTCATTAAGGTAATTGTATTCATGTACAACTTAGACAATTCATTCATTAATAACAAAGTTAAAGCGATTGTAGCAAACATCAAGCAAAAATCAATAATTTGACCTTCAATGTCAAGGTCAATGAAGAGTGGAGGTTATTATCAATTTGGTCTACTTGAGGGTCGTGTCTAAAGGATTGTTGAGTTTAATTTTATAAATACTAACAAAATTAACACAATTTTAGCAAAAATCAAGGAAAATGCAAACATTTGACTTTGAAGGTCAAAGTCTTTTAAAAGTAAAGGTCAAGTTCAGTCTGGCCAATTTGAAGGTCTTATCAAACCGGATGTTGTGTCAAAGTATGAAAACAATCCATTTGTAATTAACAAATTATGGCTAATCATAGCAAAATTCAAGTTAAGCTCAGTCCCAGGTCAACATGAAGGTCTTGTCTAAATTATGGGCTCTTGTGTCAAAAAATGAAGGCAATCCCTTGAGAAATAGAAATATTATGACCAACGTCAAAGTATTTTGATGGCAACAGCAATGACACCATGACTGTGACAAAACCTCTTTTTTTCTTTGAAAAAGTCGAGCTAATAAGGAGTGCTAGGCTTTCCTATAAAATGGAGGATCTTACTAAATTACAAAAATTACAAGGTATTTACTGAAAAAAATATTTCAAAATATTTATTTTCTGCATCTTACCGTATCAGTTATTTCAACAACATGATCAGATGTTTTGTTTTGTGACAAGATAACTTTGTTCATCATTTCTTTCTTATATATCAATGGAAGTGGCATCGAATGTCTTTTACTTTCATTTTGAATTAACGTCCTTTCGCGCAGACCTGGGTAAGAGGACTGCCGGAATGCCGGATTTTTTTCTGGTATTTCTTGTTGTAAATTACTTTTTGCTTCTGCACATTCCTTTTCTGAGACTTGACATCTATCATTTTGAGGTTCACAACTTCTTCTCTTACAATTATTATTAGTCTTTCTTGGCACACCAGCAATTGACCTTCTCTGACATTCACTGGGAATGCTAGACCCTGCTTCCTCTGCTAAACTACTCAAAGAATATCGCTGAGTGTCATTAAATGTTCCTGAAACCCTTTTACGGCAGTTATTGCTAGAATTTGTTAATTTAGTATGTCTTTTACAATTACTCAACATCGGCTGCTTTGACATTTCATCACTTTTGTTGTCATTGTGGTCTATATAGGAAACAGATCTACGGAATCCGTTCCCAGGACTGTTTTCAGAGCTGGATCCTGATAACCCTGAAAACTCACTTACGGGTCTGATATTTGCATAAGATGAAGTCCTTAATATTTCAGATTGTAAAGATTTTGCTGAAAATGACAATGACCGCAAAAAACCTTTGCTTCCTGATTCAGTAATTTTGTTAACTTCCTCTGTTAGACCATGTACACTGTTCCAACATGACAGCATTGCCGACTCATTCCAAGATAAACTATCTGGTGAGCCCGGGGACGAAATGTCACTACCAGGTGATTCACAACGAATGCTGTTTATATTTTCTGATGTACTCCCAAAATAAAATTTCACTGGTTTCTCTACGTCAACCTCACGTCTTTGTCTTATTTGTATATTTTCCATATTTTGTTATATATTGTAAAAAATTTAACTTTACTTAATTTTATTCATTAAAACAAGTCCATCTTATCATTATAAACATATTTATCAAAAGATATACATTCACGCCAACTAAAATCCAAAATGTAAATGCAGGTTTTTTTTATTGATAATGTTAACCATTATTTCATATCACAAGGTTGTATAAAAACTTCTTAATCCTAGCTGAAGCTCTTATAAAGGAAGGTTTCTCTACCCATTTATTAACAAAAGGAGTGCAACAAAATACAAAATACTTATTCAAACAAAAACAAAAGAAATCTTGACTTTTTAGTAAATACATAGATAGAATAGCACTGTGACAGTTGTTAAATGAATAAGTAAAGTACGTATATAATGCTGCAGCAGTCTTAACCGGATATCAAATCATTGCTATCTTATAAACCAGATTTCCTGAACAATTTAAACAATTAAGTACTATTTCGTTTAATTGTATTTGAATTCTTACAATATATACCGAAAAGTCATTATCTGCACACTTGAGATGCTACGGAAAGATTGTTGTACTCTCTTTGTTCAATACCAGTAGACAAAAACAACTCCTGGTTCCGCGGTTATCAAGAAATTCTCCATGCTCAAACTCAGATCTCAGGTATTTGATTGGTCAGAAACTCCCACAGAATGTACATTGACCAATGAAAATCCTGAGATTTAAGGTAAGACTCGAGGCCAGATAGGGATACTTTATGTAGTATAACTTACAATATATAATTTAAATTTAGAATAAAAAAATAAAAATAACATACCTAATCAATCCAAACAAAACTATTTATGTACAATATTTCGACATGTACTGTTACAAGAATTGGAAGATTACCAAAGATTTATACCATACAATTTAGATAGGATTTTATTGTATATATAATGACCTTATAAAATATTGATATGCAGTAAGGCTGCAGTGTAAACAAGGGCCCAGAACTTTCAACAATAATCTCTATAATCATCATAAATGTGACATTAATAAGTTATCATTCATTATATAGTCAATAGTTACCGTAAAATTCCTATTAAACGCCCCCGGGGGCTAAACATTTTCCAAAAGGGGGGCTATAATTACAACACGTTTTTCCTAAATCCAAAAATCATTGAAAATACATTTAGTGTAACATGGGTTGGTAATAACATTAAAATGTGTTAAGATTTTAAAGTTTATGTGATACATTTTTGTGTTTACTATGAAATAAAATGGATTCTGAAGGATTTGAATAAGATTTAGGATTTATTTAAGAGTTCACCGAGCGGTGAGCAGATTTTTTTAGGGGAGGGCGTTTATTAGGAATTTTACGGTAACTGTGTTACAGTAGCCAACAAAGTAGGAGATTGCTGAAGTCAGGATGACTTCTACTATTTTGTTGTTGTTGCTGCTGTTGTTGTAAGGGTCTAATTATACTGTACATGATAATGGTGACATTCCAGCTCAAATGCTGGTGACATCATACATTTATAAGTAGCATTATTCCCCAAGCACATGTTCATTGGTAAGAAACCCACCCCCTCAATTAAGATAATCTTACTATGTTCTAGACAATTTGTTTAAAAAAAATCTATCCTTTTTTCAGTCACTGCATAGTTATGTTTTATTTATATATATAATAATGTGGTCTTTATTTAAAGGTGGTTATAAGCTGATGTGTGTCTGTATTAATGCTATACGTGCAAGTCGGTCTATAGTTTGGTGTAAAACAGTCTTTATTTAAAAGGAGGTCATTAGCTAATGTGCAACTTGTATTAATGTTATATCTGCAATACAAGAGCTTTGGTGTTAATTCTGTACTGGTACTTCATAGTATTACGAGTTAAAACATCTTTGCATTAACCACCGCCTTTACAATAACTGATTGTTTTATGATTTTAAATGGACATCTATTATTGCCTGCTTTACAAATTTTGAATTCTTTACCTTTTAGATATAAATGTACATGTATAAACCATTATGTAAAAGGAAGAAAATGATTATTACAATAAATAAGAAAGTGCAAAACATTTTTATCCTTTTTTTGTGAAACTATGATATATCATCTTTCAGCCTACTGTTAAGCCAACTTTAATATTATCAGTAACAAAAGAGGTCTGTGTCAATCAAGAAAAATTCATAAAGACATTTTGATGTAGTTTAAAAACTTTAACTTTTCAACAGCAAGGTATAAATTTACAAATTTCCGTAACTCTGTGCCTGCTTTTACTTTATTTTTTGGAAAATGACATTGAGAATTGTTGAAAATTTGCTGTTGCCTTATTTTTAAAATAATTTATAATTAATTTTGTGTTTATGTTCATGCACATTAAGCATGCCAAAAAAACAACCATTTAGCCCACTGAAGTTAATCAATGTCTCCCTCTATGTCCAAGCTTGACTCAGTCAAACTGGGCCATGTTGTTAGCTGGTTCATTGTTCTTACAAATTAAAAGTGATTTACCGGATAAAAAGGTATTAATTTAAAAAGATTTAAATAGTCTATTTCTCTAAATTCAGATTTATTTAAGTTAAGGTATTTATAAATATTTCTGAAAAGAAACTAAACATCCTCTTTGGACAGGCTGTTAAATCCCTGTGTAACCACAGGTCAAATGTTTATTTTCCCTAAAATTGTAACATTTCTCAAACTGGGGCTAGATACTGGAAAAGGTCTGTTTGAAAACAGATTAAAATTGTTTTTACTTTGTATGGATGATAAGACTTTCTTTAAAATCACTCTTGAGGCAACTGTCCTGGGACAGCGGTAACCCCAAGTAAGGAACACAGACAATCCATTAGCGTTACATGTAGTGAAGATAGCTTTTTCACATGATAGAATTCAAATCACTATGACCTTTTGGACCTACTTGACCTAAAAATCAATAGTAGTCATGACTATTGTACTGGCCATGATCAACCTTCACTTGTAGACCAAAGCATTCTTTAATTGATTACGTCAAGGTCAAGACCATGGTAACCTTGAACTTTGACCTCTAAATCAAAAGGGATAGATATCTAACTAGTCATAACCAACCACAACAGTTAAAACTAGACTTAGGCCAAGCCGCCAAAAGCATTCACTAGTGTTGATTGTACAAGCTTTATAGCAGGTCAACTGACAAGGCTGTGGTGACCTTTGACCTTTGACCTTTTAAACTTCAGTAAGGATCACTTACTGGCCATGTGCAATGTCCCTATCAAGTCACATAACCAGGGCTAATACCTTCTCAGTCACTGAATAAGTGAGAAGTAGATTAAAAACAATTTTTATAAGTTTAATCTACAATACTGAAGGGAAATTTAACTTTGAACAAAATACATAATTATGGCGAAGAAAGTAAATATCATACAACTTTTAGTAAGATGTAGTTTAATCACTTCCAGTATACTTTATTTTAAGCTATATCTATTTTTCAATATTTTAACTTTAAAATATTGACTTGACTTGATACTTTTTAGGTAACACAAACCAAAAATTAGGAATTTTTAGGTAACACAAACCAAAAAAATAGGACTTTTTAGGTAACACAAACCAAAAAGTTAGGATTTAGTAATTTTATAATGTAAAATCTTTATCTTTGTCTAGTCTTTACAATTTAATCATCCTCCAAATTTTAAATATGATTCACACTCATATTAATGTGAACCTTTATAACGTGTGCTTCTGAAGAGGCCTTATGTAAAAATTAAAATGTAATTTATGGGGGAAAAAAAAAAAAAAAATAAAAATTTATAAAAAAATAAAGAACAAAATAATCTGGAAAAAAAATTAAAAATCTGATATAAATTTAATAAAACTATTTGCCTTTGTAAACACATCTCTCTCT